AATATTATTACAATATTTTGTACATACACCTTTGTAATATTTTAAATAATTTTATAATACAAAAAGAAACAATGTTTGAAATGTATAAAAAAATAGAAAATATCGGAAGTAAAAAATAATTTTTTATAATAATAAAATATAAACTCTATTTCAAACATAATGCTATAATGTTAATTATCAGATATTATGTGCAACATCAATTAAAAACTTTAAACAATCTTAATTAATACGTCAGATTTCAAAATGCAACTCTATTTATGATTTTACATGCTATATGTTTTGATATAATTTTATATATTTTATATATGTTTGTGACGTTTTGTGTATATATTTTAATTCTACAAATGTTTTCTGTATTATACAACATATAAAATTATAAATAAAATTCCAGTCTAAATTTTAATCGACACAAATTATGGACCGCCTAAATATGTTTTATATAAATTATTTCTAAATTATTGATAATTATTAATATCATTATTTTAGAAATTATCTCTAATCTATTTTGCAAGCTATTTTTATCAAAACATAAACTTTTTTTTAAACGTTTTTCTAACTAAGCTAAATAATTGATGAACATGTAACAAGTTTTATAAAAATTATACTAAAAAGATCAAAATAATTTTTTAAATAATAAATTGGTATATTTTATATTTTTAAATATGTATATATTTGTATCTAAACTTAAACATAAACAAATAAAATAAAAAATAAAAATATAAGTATTATCATAATATGTTAAGGAAATATCACAAAAGGAGCATTTAATCAAAAAATACAACAATAAATTAAATTGTAATAAATTAAATTAAACAAATATATATATAAAACCTTCTCAAAAGTAATGTGACAACGTTAAATCTCCAGTCACTCTTTCATTCCATTTCCTTTCTCGTCTCTTTGATTGTTTCAATATATATCTTCGAGCACCAATCTTACGCAAAACAAGCCGAGGATGTTCAAGTAAATTCATCCATTTTTCACGCGTCACAGATCACTTCGTACGAACACAATCAAGAAAAATATGACCGTGATAAGAAAATTCACTCTTACCATTGAGCACTAGCCCTGTGCAATTCTGATGTCCGAAGGTATCTCAGATTGGTGCAAGGCGCACGCGCGTTTTTATTGAACGTAAATGACAAACCATATAGCCAGTTACAAGTGAGCTATACTCTAAATTCTAAATTCCGATGTAAAAGCTATCCTATTATACATGAAAAGTGTATCTTTCATTTGATATTTCTTTCTTTTCATATTACTTTTGAATTGATTCCATTACAAATTTACTGTGATAATATTAACATCTTTATTTTTTAGATAAAACAATATTAATACAGATTTCAATCATGATTATTTATAAAAAATTAATTAGAGGAGTAATTATCGAATGTTAATTTATTCTATACAAAATGAAACATTTTGTTGATGATAATATAAAAAATGTACATCCTATTTACCGACAAATTATAATTCAAGACCGACAGACTTGGGAAGTTTACTGCTAAAATTATATAGTTTATAATGTAATATTAATTTTATAATTTATTTCTATCTTGATAATGTTTTGTAAACATATCTATAAATCAATATTCAATTTTTATTTAAAATTACATTTTAATTAGTATTATTAATGCTTAATTATTCTTGTACATGATAAATGAAAAAATGCATTTTCACGTATATAATTATATCATATATGTATGCTTATTTATGAAATCTATATATAATAATAAATAATGAATTTTTATATGATACTGTATTATAATTTCTCGGTAGATATTTATCGACGATCGAAAAAGTTATATCGACAGTCGAAATGTCGATATTTTTCAATTTTTGGACTGCCAAAGCTCCGGTCACAAACCTTATCGGTCACAAAAAATTACTTGTTATCTCTTTAGATACATTTTATAAATATATCAAAAATTAAATTTTATCAAATGGCGGACATCATTCAATTAAAAAAAAAATTAATTTAAGAAATATATTAGAATGATTTAGTTCTATAAAAGCACAGTCACCCTGTGATTCTTTAGTTTGATAATTTAAATAAAATATTCAAGGACAGGAAAATAAAAATAAAGTTCAATTTGTAAATATTATTAATTTACTCTATACATGTCATTATTTCTCGCTTTTAACCGCCCGTTAATGACTTAAACTTTTTACTGGCATTGTTACAAGAAGTAGCAGATTTAAGTCGTAGCAGACTTAGCTAAATAATCATTTACTAATAGCTATTTCAATAAAAATTCATTTAAATTAGTCCTACTTATTTTATAAAATAAGTAACAATATAAAGTATTATTATTATTATCAGATTAAAAGGTAATTTTAATATCTTTTAATTAAAGCGCATAAATAATATTTTATGTAATGTTGTTAATTAATTAAGAACATTTAATTTAGATTAAAATCTTGAAAAATATTTGATGTTATTCACTTTTTTCCACTATTATTGCAAACTATTATTGCACTATCAGAACAATCAGATAAAACAGAAGATTATTTTAAATTTTGGTGAAGTTGAACTCTAAATTTACATATTGTGAAAATTTGTATAAAAAATCAACGTAGATTTGATAACTTGATTACAGATATTTTGTAAGTAATAGAAACTGGTATTCATAAAAATGATTCATTTTTAAATATCTGCACCAGGCAGGATAAGTTTATTCGGTGAACATGCGGGGAGCATAAAAAAAATAGTATAATAGCTAGCATAGATTTACGTACCACGATGACATTCACCGATTTATCACTTACCTTCAAAAAATAATATTGAAATAGACTTTCCTCAAATCTACCTACATCTTAATATACCTATACAAGAATTTCTAAATTTCTACAACAATTCCATCCAAAATATGAAGCTACTGCGTGAGCAAGTAGTTGTATGATTCACAAACAATTTATATAGTCCACCTCATTGGAAGGAAATTGTACAAACATTTTATTATTTGCTTGTTTATATCTTATACAAAGAGCAAATTACAATATCATCTTTTAAAATATATGTATTCACAAAATTTATGATTGACGAGGAATTCGCCTGTCTGTCATCATTCACAGTATGTTTCATGGCATAATGCTTATTATTGGTCACATAGGTACAAAAGGGTATTGCAGGTAAATTTCAAGACATTGATTTCGAAAAGATCCAATCATATGCCGCACACTGCGAAGAAATTTCTCCCGCATCTGGAATGATCGTAACTGCCTGTGCTATATGACTCAATAACATCGAATAGGAATAATGACTTTAAATTCATTGCATAAAATGCCAAAAATAATGATTCTATTAATTGATTCAAAAGTAATACAAAAAAAATCTAGATTGTCAGATACAACGAGTTAATGAATATCTTTCCACAATTGACAACCTCATCTTAATTACATTGATATTGTAAGCATGGCTCATAATTTATTTAGAAAAATTAATAAAATGTATAATGTTAATAATATCTCTATTGACGTATTTCTCAGAAAAATGAGGAATTAAATGTGAGTCTTATTACGTAAGTCAAAAAACATTATTCTGTTACATTTATATTTCCCTTATAAAAAAAAAGCACTGAAAATTATACAACAATGCTTTTTCAAAATTTTCAATGTTTTTTCCGTAAGAGTATGTATAGTTTCCATTTTTTTATGTCAAATCTTTTTACACTAGTTTTTATGTGAAAATTTCTATGACTGAGTTACAAACTTAACTTACATTTTAACACTTTTCTTTCACAGATTTACATTAGCTACAAAAAAATTATTACAGATGTTAGGTGTATTGTATAACCGTCTGAATGAAATATGTGCAAAAGCGCAAAAATTTAAATTATTCGGAAAATATACAGATATTGAGAATGATAGATATACATACATTTGGTGCCCACTATATACAGATAAAGAAATATTCATTGAGCTTCTGTGGGACGAATTGAAGAAATACGATTGCGATCATCAAAGTGTATTTGAGTTATTGCGGAATGAAAATTGAATCGCAAGTTAAATCAGCTTGTAGTGTAAAGAAGAATTGTATGTTGCGATGAACATTCTAATAAATGATTAAATATACGAATAAATATTGTATCAAATAAATAATGTTCTTCATTTATGTTATCAAAAATAATAATGTTTATTTGTATTATAAACGATCGTTAATGTGTACAATACTTTTTATAAATACCTAAATAATCGCGAATTGTCGTAGTCATTATCGCGTAATATAACGTACGCTTTTATGGTTTTATGCATACCGGAATGTTTTTTTTATTACGTTGCTAAACATAACAAAACAAATTATTTATATAAAATTATTTAAATTATTTACATAATAAGAAATTTTAATTATTTAAATTTAAATTATTTTATTATTTAAATTTTTTTAATGATTTAGTAAAAATTTTTTTAAACTATTATCTGTTAAAAATATGCAATTAAAAATCAAATGTCTTTAGTTGATAAACTTAAATATAAATATGTTTTAAAATTCACTGTATAGAAAATCTTGCATAGAAAATAGTAGCTAGTTTGGTATACTTAGCGTATTCATTTCTAATATAATGCACTTTATACGAGAGAGAGAGAGAGAGAGAGAGAGAGAGAGAGAGAGAGAGAGAGAGAAAGATTTATTATTTAGTTTTCGAAATACTTTTCCTAATCCAATTTATAAAACTTAAGCGTAACAAATACATCATTTAATAATTCTTTGTAATCCACCTTTTAATAAAAATAAAAATTATTTTTTTAATCTTGCAATTTGTAATAGTAGAATTAAAAAATTTGTAATATGATTAAATTAAAATATAACTTTGCAACAAATTTGTATTAATGTTTCGTTATTTTGAATAATTATTGTAATATATTAATATTAATGACAAAGTATACAAGTATAATAATTTATAATTGCATGAATTTTAATTAATACTACAATATCTCTTAATATAGTATTACACATATGTATATATACATATAGATACACAATACATTTAGATACAAAATTACGATATTTTTATATCAAACATCTTATATTTATTTATAATACGATATTGAATGAACATTCGCATCAACAAGATATAAGGTATTTCTACCATCACAGACAATATATAGGAGCAAAAATAACTAATCACAATATATCCCACACCCATAACCATCTGAAAAGAAAAATTAAAAAAGGAATAAATACATTTTTTTAAACTATTTCTTAAGTTAAGAATTTTAAATGTTCGTATGTTTACTATAAATAAAAATTCAAAGTGAACTGTTGTTTCACGGCTTAAGTAAATCGATCGTATGATGACAGGATGTAAAAGATAAGCACAATACGTGAGTCTGCTAAATGGAATCCAGATTTTAAATGATAAAGTCCGAGTAATAATATCTGTAACAAAGGCAAGCGTATATTATTATTAAAACATGTTTTTAAATTAAAATACTAATTAAAAAATAATATGTTATGCTTATTATGAAACTATGCTAATTTAATATAATTATATATTAATAAATAAACAAACCTCCATGTTTAATAAAAGACATTATTATAATTAATGCTATAGGTATTGCCCAGAATATTTTGTACAGTGCAACATAAATTGCAGTAGCCAAAACGGACATGTGTCTCTCATAAAGACTAAATACAAAACCGTAGCAAGCGCTAGCAAGACACAAACA